ACACCCAGTATATCCCAGTACATCCCAGTATATACCAGTATATCCCAGTATATCCCAGTATATCCCAGTACATCCCAGTACATCCCAGTATATCCCAGTATATCCCAGTATATCCCAGTATATCCCAGTATATCCCAGTATATCCCAGTATATCCCATATCTATACGTCATAAAGTGTTATTAAAGAGCTTGTCTCCACTGATCTCTTTCCAGGTAAACAAACGGAGAGAGAAAGCTTGAAGCTGTAAACAAAGATGGCCGATCTTTAACAAAGTGTTAGAAAAGGCTCTATGCTAGCAGAAGGTTCGGGTCATACAGGTTATTCTCAGGAACAGAGCAGATCCCAGTGGTTGCCATAGTAACATACAGCCTTTGAAGCTGCTGCAGGTTTAAAATCCCCTAAACTGAGTCTTGAAGGTCTTGAAGTTTTCAGGAAGTGTAATCTGCTCCAGGAAGAGAATCCAAACTTTATCGGTTCATAAATTTGTTTTTCTGGGGAGATTTTCTGAATAAATCAGACTTTAAAGGGCAATGAAATGATAAGATTCTAGTTTATTAACGACGATGAGGGACCCACTAAAACCCTCTCCTATGCTGAAGGTATGGGAAACCACTGAAGTGGATTAACTGTAACTTTCTCCTCATCAGCCTGAGAACAGACTGGTTCTGTTGACACCATCATCTATGCTCATCGTCTCCTTCCCTCCACGCTGCCCTGCGTCCTGAAAGGACAGGCTTGTGCTAGCGTTGGACTTTAGTAGCTTAGTCCATAGATGAGGATTAGGATTAACCACAATCATGCTCAGATTAAACCAAGAGGAAGACATTCGTCTTTATCCAGTCCTGCTAAAAAAGTGAACTAAGTCTGGATCACATCTTCAATCCAACCATAGCAGAAAGTTCACTTCAATCTGGGTTCACTTTGAAAAACCGTTTCATCATCAGTTTGCCCCGACGTGACTGAAACGCTTTCCTCAAAGCAAACATCTCAGCTCCCACAGCCGACCACCAGAGGGAAACGGAGAACCAGGAGGAAAAACCTGTGTGACGGACTGAGAGTCTGGGAGACACCTCCTCAGCTGCTGGGGCCCCTCTGCAGAGGCCCCACAGCTTCCTGTCTGAGCTGCTGAGCAGAGACCCCCTCAGCAGCTGAGCAGAGACCTCCTTCGCTGCTGAGCAGAGACCCCCTCAGCTGCTGAGCAGAGACCTCCTCAGCAGTTGAGCAGAGACCCCCTCAGCAGCTGAGCAGACACCCCCTCAGCAGCTGATGGGAGACCTCCTCATCAGCTGAGCAGAGACCTCCTCAGCAGCTGAGCAGAGACCCCCTCAGCAGCTGATGGGAGACCTCCTCATCAGCTGAGCAGAGACCTCCTCAGCAGCTGAGCAGAGACCTCCTCAGCAACTGAGCAGAGACCTCCTCAGCAGCTGAGCAGAGACCTCCTCAGCAGCTGAGCAGAGACCCCCTCAGCTGCTGAGCAGAGACCTCCTCATCAGCTGAGCAGAGACCTCCTCAGCAGCTGAGCAGAGACCTCCTCATCAGCTGAGCAGAGACCTCCTCATCAGCTGAGCAGAAACCCCCCAAGCAGCTGAGCAGAGACCCCCTCAGCCGCTGAGCAGAGACCTCCTCATCAGCTGAGCAGAGACCCCCTCAGCAGCTGAGCAGAGACCCCCTCAGCTGCTGAGCAGAGACCTCCTCATCAGCTGAGCAGAGACCTCCTCAGCAGCTGAGCAGAGACCTCCTCATCAGCTGAGCAGAGACCTCCTCATCAGCTGAGCAGAAACCCCCCAAGCAGCTGAGCAGAGACCCCCTCAGCCGCTGAGCAGAGACCTCCTCATCAGCTGAGCAGAGACCTCCTCAGCAGCTGAGCAGAGACCTCCTCATCAGCTGAGCAGAGACCTCCTCAGCAGCTGAGCAGAGACCTCCTCATCAGCTGAGCAGAGACCTCCTCAGCAGCTGAGCAGAGACCCCCTCAGCAGCTGAGCAGAGACCTCCTCATCAGCTGAGCAGAGACCCCCTCAGCAGCTGAGCAGAGACCTCCTCAGCAACTGAGCAGAGACCTCCTCATCAGCTGAGCAGAGACCCCCTCAGCAGCTGAGCAGAGACCTCCTCATCAGCTGAGCAGAGACCCCCTCAGCAGCTGAGCAGAGACCTCCTCAGCAGCTGAGCAGAGACCCCCTCAGCAGCTGAGCAGAGACCTCCTCAGCAGCTGAGCAGAGACCTCCTCAGCAGCTGAGCAGAGACCTCCTCATCAGCTGAGCAGAGACCCCCTCAGCAGCTGAGCAGAGACCTCCTCATCAGCTGAGCAGAGACCCCCTCATCAGCTGAGCAGAGACCCCCTCAGCAGCTGAGCAGAGACCTCCTCAGCAGCTGAGCAGAGACCTCCTCATCAGCTGAGCAGAGACCTCCTCAGCAGCTGAGCAGAGACCTCCTCATCAGCTGAGCAGAGACCTCCTCATCAGCTGAGCAGAAACCCCCCAAGCAGCTGAGCAGAGACCCCCTCAGCCGCTGAGCAGAGACCTCCTCATCAGCTGAGCAGAGACCTCCTCAGCAGCTGAGCAGAGACCTCCTCATCAGCTGAGCAGAGACCTCCTCAGCAGCTGAGCAGAGACCCCCTCAGCAGCTGAGCAGAGACCTCCTCATCAGCTGAGCAGAGACCTCCTCATCAGCTGAGCAGAGACCCCCCAAGCAGCTGAGCAGAGACCTCCTCATCAGCTGAGCAGAGACCTCCTCATCAGCTGAGCAGAGACCCCCTCAGCAGCTGAGCAGAGACCTCCTCATCAGCTGAGCAGAGACCCCCTCAGCAGCTGAGCAGAGACCTCCTCAGCAGCTGAGCAGAGACCCCCTCAGCAGCTGAGCAGAGACCCCCTCAGCAGCTGAGCAGAGACCTCCTCAGACAGACTGAAGACCGTCCTGATCACCGCTGAGTAATCAGGGCTTTGCAGGAGGTCTCACCTGCTGGTTTATTGGGGTCCATGTGACCGACTGAAGGAAGGTGGGTGTCTTTGATTAAAATGTTTCTATCAATGAGAACCATTTTTATCAGATGATTTCTTCTAACGTTTCCTTCAGTTATGATCAAACCATCAGCTCTTTGGCTTCTACCAACTTTGAAACTGAAACGTCTTTTAGGGTCAGTCAGGTTGGACAGACAGTCTGCAACAATCCATCATCGACTCTTCAACAGATTCTCATTGTAGAAACCGTGCTTTACTTTGACTAGGCCATCTGACCCGCTCTATTCTTTAGTTCTATTGTCCTGCTGGACAATAGAACTAAACCTTGTGACGACATTGAAGAACCTCTGACAGATTCTTCAAGATCTTCACATGAACTCTGCTCCTCTGTACCATCAGGTAATACTAGGCAGCTGCCCAGTGCCCCAAGTTCCTGGGGGACTTAAAACTCTGTTTCCATGTGTGGTTAATACAACTATTCCTTATTTGTGCACATTAGTTATGTTTTTAATAAAAATCCTTTGGCTAAAATGCCATCAGAACGCTGATAATATTACGTGTGTCTCAGAACAGATGAGCAGATCATGGCTTGTCTACAGTGAAAAGAAGGACTGGGTTATTTACTTTGGCCTTTTTGGAAACACAGGAAGGAGCAATCAGCTAAGTGAGCTTAGTGCTTGGAAAAAATCTTTCATTCCTTTAGAGACAGCATGAAAAGTCAGCTGAGTACAAAACATAGAGAGGAAAACAAGAAGAGAGGGACACAACCTAGAACAGATAATGGATGTCTATTCTATTAACATTTCTACATCTGGAGAATGGGGCTGTTTTATGGGGCAGGGGGCCCCCTGCCTGTCTTTGCCTAGGGCCCCACATTTCCTCAATCCGCCCCTGATGGGATTCTAATCTAATCCCGTTCCTGCTGCACTGAGCAGTGGATTAAAACTTGGAGCGACTCGCTGCTCCTGTCATGGAATCCTAGATGTTGCTCCATCCCTCCTCAGTTCAGTGATTCTGTAAAGTTTATATCTTTAATGGATTTAGATCAAAGCAGCGATCATCTCTCCTTTATCTGCAGAGCAGACTTTGATCCTGACAGTTTCCTCTGAGCAGGACCGAAGTTCAGCCCCGTTAACCGGATCCTCTCTTTACTCCATGTGGGCGGAGCTCGGTGGGCGTGGTCTGTTTAATACAGATGCGCTCCTCGCGCGCCCTGCGTTCAGCGGCCAGCGGAGCGGACGGACGGACGGAAGCATGACCAGCAGCAGCTGCGATGTGGTGGTGGTGGGAGCGGGGATCTCAGGTAAGAGCTGCGGGCTCTGCATGAAGCGATGCTTCCTGTTTCTCTCCTTATTCCAGCTTCTGCTCTCTTCCGCTTCCTCCTCTCCGCTGCTTCAGGTTAAATAACGGCTAATCAGCAGCGCTGCGTTACATAAGAGGAAGAGGAGGGCGGATAAATCACTCCTTTGGTGGGGCTGACAGGGACGCTCCACCGCGGTGGTGCTGAGGAGGCTGTGGAACCAGAGCTGCAGCTTCAGCCAGAGCAGAGCTACTGCAGCTTCAGCCAGAGCTGCTGCAGCTTCAGCCAGAGCAGAGCTACTGCAGCTTCAGCCAGAGCTGCTGCAGCTTCAGCCAGAGCAGGGCTGCAGCTTCAGCCAGAGCTGCTGCAGCTTCAGCCAGAGCAGGGCTGCAGCTTCAGCCAGAGCTGCTGCAGCTTCAGCCAGAGCTGCTGCAGCTTCAGCCAGAGCAGGGCTGCAGCTTCAGCCAGAGCTGCTGCAGCTTCAGCCAGAGCTGCTGCAGCTTCAGCCAGAGCAGGGCTGCAGCTTCAGCCAGAGCTGCTGCAGCTTCAGCCAGAGCTGCTGCAGCTTCAGCCAGAGCAGGGCTGCAGCTTCAGCCAGAGCTGCTGCAGCTTCAGCCAGAGCAGGGCTGCAGCTTCAGCCAGAGCAGGGCTGCAGCTTCAGCCGGAGCTGCTGCAGCTTCAGCCGGAGCTGCTGCAGCTTCAGCCAGATCTGCTGCAGCTTCAGCCAGAGCAGGGCTGCAGCTTCAGCCGGAGCTGCTGCAGCTTCAGCCGGAGCTGCTGCAGCTTCAGCCAGAGCAGGGCTGCAGCTTCAGCCAGAGCTGCTGCAGCTTCAGCCAGAGCAGGGCTGCAGCTTCAGCCGGAGCTGCTGCAGCTTCAGCCGGAGCTGCTGCAGCTTCAGCCAGAGCAGGGCTGCAGCTTCAGCCGGAGCTGCTGCAGCTTCAGCCGGAGCTGCTGCAGCTTCAGCCAGAGCAGGGCTGCAGCTTCAGCCAGATCTGCTGCAGCTTCAGCCAGAGCAGGGCTGCAGCTTCAGCCGGAGCTGCTGCAGCTTCAGCCGGAGCTGCTGCAGCTTCAGCCAGAGCAGGGCTGCAGCTTCAGCCGGAGCTGCTGCAGCTTCAGCCAGAGCAGGGCTGCAGCTTCAGCCAGAGCTGCTGCAGCTTCAGCCAGAGCAGGGCTGCAGCTTCAGCCAGAGCTGCTGCAGCTTCAGCCAGATCTGCTGCAGCTTCAGCCAGAGCAGGGCTGCAGCTTCAGCCGGAGCTGCTGCAGCTTCAGCCGGAGCTGCTGCAGCTTCAGCCAGAGCAGGGCTGCAGCTTCAGCCAGAGCTGCTGCAGCTTCAGCCAGAGCAGGGCTGCAGCTTCAGCCAGAGCTGCTGCAGCTTCAGCCAGAGCTGCTGCAGCTTCAGCCAGAGCAGGGCTGCAGCTTCAGCCAGAGCTGCTGCAGCTTCAGCCAGAGCAGATCTGCTGCAGCTTCAGCCAGAGCAGGGCTGCAGCTTCAGCCAGAGCAGGGCTGCAGCTTCAGCCAGAGCAGGGCTGCAGCTTCAGCCAGAGCAGGGCTGCTGCTTCAGCCAGAGCAGGGCTGCTGCTTCAGCCAGAGCAGGGCAGGCATGGAGCTGTGGTTTGTTCCAGAGGAGAAGGGAGGCAGTGAGTTCCAGGAATGTTCAGGGAGCCTGCTGGTCTCCATGCCGACCAAAACTAAACAAATGTGGGTGATCTGATTAGACTGCAGCCTGGAGCAGAACAGGGAGACTGAGAGCAGAGCTCTGCTGGAGTTTGGCAACATGAGGCTCTGAAAAAATGGAAAACAATCCCAGTTTCCTCCATTTAAGAATAGAATTCAACTTAATTCTCATTACACTGTCACAAGTTCAGAGAAACAGAATTCCTCTCTGCATTTAACCCCTCCCCCTAGGGAGCAGTGGGCTGCCATTGTTCAGAGCCCAACGAGCAGTGTGGGGTTAAGGGTCTTGCTCAGGGACCCAGATTCATAGTCTGTGGGTGTGGGACTTGAACTCAGAACCTCTGCGTTCCAAGCACAATGCCCTAACCACTAGGCCACTGATCTGTCAGACCAGCATAGCTTTAGTCAATACGCGTTTATCCCTTTAGTTTTGTTCCAAAAAATAAACTTTTAACTACCTTGACGGGCGTGTCTCCCTTTAGTCCTGGAAAAAAAAAAACTATTTAATTATGTAGTTTTTGGTGTTTTTTTAAGCGTATGGCGATCTGACCTTAGATTGTTTGTTGAACATGACTAAAGGGATAATTGCCCATTGATGTAGTTTAAAGTTTATTTTTCATACAAAACTAACAGGACAAACTAAACTAAAGTGATAAACGTAACTCTGACATCCTGCTATTGACTGTTGCTATGCTGGTCTGAATGCGGCTAAAATCATCTTTGGCTGCTAGTGGTCCAGCCTCCATCAATGCCCCAGGCCCTAGAACTGTCGGGCCAATCACATCGCAGAGATGGGTTTTGAACGTCTGGATGCAAAGTGGGCGGGGTTTGGAGGGCGTGACGACAGAGCCGCAGGATGCGGGAGAAGCACGAAAAGAAAGATGGCAGCAACTATTGAACAGTTCTGGTTTGACTCAGCTTTGGATTCAGTTCTGGAAGGATCAGACTTTGGGTTTTCGTTGAAACGTGAGCAGGAAGAGGCTCTACGCTCGTTCATTTTGAAGAAGGACGTATTCACTGTTTTACCGACAGGCTGTTTGTTTCCACTCCCCCACCAGCTTCCTGTGGCGCTTCCTACGTCACAGTCAGTGGCTCTCATTGGTCAGAGGGTTGGCCAATAGGAACAGACATGGTTTGAAAGACAGCGCTAACACTCTCTGACGGTTAGCGGCTCTCTGACGGTTAGCGGTTCTCTGACGGTTAGCGGTTCTCTGACGGTTAGCGGTTCTCTGACGGTTAGCGGCTCTCTGACGGTTAGCGGTTCTCTGACGGTTAGCGGCTCTCTGACGGTTAGCGGTTCTCTGAGGGTTAGTGGTTCTCTGACGGTTAGCGGTTCTCTGAGGGTTAGCGGTTCTCTGAGGGTTAGCGGCTCTCTGAGTGTTAGCGGTTCTCTGAGGGTTAGCGGTTCTCTGAGGGTTAGTGGTTCTCTGACGGTTAGCGGTTCTCTGAGGGTTAGCGGTTCTCTGAGGGTTAGCGGCTCTCTGAGTGTTAGCGGTTCTCTGAGGGTTAAAGGCTTGTTAGCACTCCAAATCACACCTAAGGTGACATTTCTTGCAGCTTGCAGCAGTATTTTTTTAGGCCATTTCCAGTGATGCTCTAGACATCCACCATGGTTTAAACGTTTCTGTTACATTGAAACCATCGTTGCTTAATATTTGAACATTTAACGTCTGCAGGTTATTGTTTGCTTAGTTTCAAGTGAGCTACGCTTCCTGAATTTAGAGTTTTTCTTTTGAACCTCAGATTTTCCGAAATCTTTTTAAATAGAAGCAGATTTCCTTGCAGTGGAGCTTCTTCTGCTTTCAGGAAGGGGAACATTTCCAGCTCCTAGATAAAAATAAATACATATCATCAATATTAAATTAGAAAACTGAAACAGTGCTGCTTTGATTTATTTTTTTACATATTTATTCATATTTGAACAATGAAAATGGATTGTAAAATCCAGGAATGTTCCTCTCCATCCTGTTAGTATTTCCTAAGATTATCTCACCTGATTAAATAATAAAAAGGTTAATCAACACCATATCTGGAGCTACAAGTAAAAACAATCTTAATAAACGCAGATTAAACAGGCGGTTATCTCTTACTCCATCATTCTCAGATCATGCAGGCATTCAGTTTTCCTTTTACTGCCTCTTATTTTTTATGAGGAAGTAGATCTAAGCTTGGAAGTCTATGCTCATAAATCACAGCCATAAAACAGCAAAACAGCGTCTAACTACTATCAGTAACCAACTATCTGCAGATATAAACTAAAGGTCACCAATCAGTTCTAGAAGCATCTTTAGATGAACCCTGGTTGATCCTGGAGAACCACTGAACCAGATTAGCTCCTTTAAGGAGTCTTCCAGTCATTCTGGTTCATTTGATCTGAGTCTATTTCCTCCTGCAGCTGCAGCCAATGTTCTGACTGTTGATTAGTTTGGTTTATTCTATATTTCTGCTCTTCATCTTTAGTAAAACAAACACATCAAAGCCTTTTTTTTATTAACCTGGGACCGAAGCAAACATTTATCCCAGTGATCAGCCTAGTTCAGATCAATGAACAGATTAATGCATAAAACTGTAAAATCGGGGACATTTCTGGGGACATCTTTAGCCGGGGACGGGTGGTCCAGAAGGGAAACGTCCCCCGGACGTTTGATCATGAAGCTTTCAGGGATTTTTGGTATTTTCACCTGTTTTTATTTACATTTAGCCATTAAATGTTAGGATGTATATTGACTCTACATGTGAATAATGTTCCCTCACTGCTGTAGAGAAGTTCAGGGCTGGAGTTGGTCTGAGGCTCGGCTGAACGCTGGTCGAGTCTTAGCGGAGGCTCTGTCTGCTGTGAGATGTCCCAGTCTTTTGGCAATGGTCAGGGTTTAGTATTTCAGACAGCAGTGGAGAGCAACAGGTGTGGGAGGGTAAGGATCGTGTGGGAATCTGGAATGGGGTGACGAATCCAGATGTTACAGTTGTTTACATGAACATTCATGTCGTCCTGTTTGTCTTGCTGGCGGGACGTGGATGAGGCGGGGAGGAATTTAGGTCAGTGTCGGGTCAGATAGCAGTCAGACGGTGAAAACAGAGGAAACCTTCATTAGAGAACACAATCACAGCCTGTTATGTCCCATTAGGTTGCTGGAATTACACACTTTGTTTACCGCTGACCTTTAATAACCTTCAGCGAAGACAACCTATAACAATCAGTGTCCAGTCAGACGACAGATCTCCTTCTTCACACCTCCTCCCTAAGGCAGTCGGCCCCTTCAGGGCTCCTTAATGCCAGCGACAGCCTGTTATCAAAGCCAGCAGCCCAGTGGAGGGTGAGGAAGAGGAGG